AAAAAATAGAAATTGCATTCAACCAAATATCACCTAAATTTAATTGTGGAGAAATGGTTCAACCACCGGATAATATTTAAGTAATAATAAACTTTTATTATATCAGAACAGCACCATCAATAGCATATAGGAGTTTTAAGAAGGATAATAGAACATCATACTAGATAATACTGCTAGTTTCCTCATGTTCATAATTTATGTATAAAGCCAAACTCCAACAACAAAAACAGAGCCCCCAAAAGGCCCCGAAACACAACAAGCTTCCAACTTCTAAACCATTAATAGGTATACGCTGTGTTTATATCTTATCTATGAATCTTCCTTCTTCCAAACTCGTTTATCTTCATAACGCTGTATTAATTCCTGTAGGTTATAAACAAACTCTCTGTCTGTCTCTCTGTATGATGTTATCATCAACCTATCACACCCTCTATGTTCACCTGTCCAAGCATCCAAGGCTCTTGTTCCCTAAATACGTCCAAGAGGGAAATTGCCTGCGAATTTTACAATTAACAACACACAGCCGATGCAGTAAGTTAGAATTCGATCTTCAACATGCATGTTTGATTTTAATTAGTCGAACATTAATTAATTAATTAATTAATTAAAGAAAATTATACCTCCGGCACACTCAGTTCGAGACGGAACTTGGGGCCGTCGTAGTGGTGGAGAATTGGTCGGAAAGAGTCCTCTTCCAGTGGCTCACACACTTTTCTTGTAATAACCTGAACCTGAGCAGGGAACCGAGATTCTCCGGGACACTTCTTGTCCTCCCAGGCGGTCGGATCAATGTTTGTCCCACCGAAACTTGCAGCCTAACACATTCACACCAGTTAATTAATTAACCATGCCCACCATTTCATTTTAATAATTAAAAAGGAAATGAATTAATATTCCAAAAAACTACTAACATAAGGAAATTAAAAAATATATCAAAAAATATATAAAAAATAAATTAATATAACCAACCTCAAAAACTCCATGGAGTTGGTGGGTGGAGTAGTTGTACAGGAAAAGAGGAAGACCTGGTGTTATCGCCCGCACTGAATCTCGGTAACGTGGAGGCAAACCTTCATTCAATTAATTAATTAAAAAGAAAAATATCTTAATTAGTACTAAAATTTCTGCAATTACTACTAGGAGCAGTAAATTAGCCAAAAATTCAATAAATTAATTTGCAACAACAAAACAAACATACCAAAGAGCTGTCTTTTCAGATTCTCTTGCATGGTATCGTTGTTGCAGACGAAGATGTAGCCACCAATGGTTTCATTCCTCGGCAGAGCCTCCGACGGCGGGAGTGTCTTAAACCTCTTGTCCGCAGCAGTTTTGTTGTCCTTGTTTTCACCGCCGTTGTCATTGCTGTTAATGTTTTTCTTACTACTGTTGTTGTTGCTGCTGTTCTTCTTACCGCTCTTTGGTCCTCCGTGTTCTTCGATTCCCTTGTTCTTATTATTCCTCTTGAAACCAACATCGAAACTGCTGTTTTTTGGGTAAAGATCGAAGCTGCTGTTTTTGGGGAAAAGATCGAAACTGCTGTTGTAGCCGTTTGCTTTGGAATAAACCCCTTTATTGAACCCACCATTGATGTTCTGAGACCCAACGGCGAAGGGTCCAATCGGACCATACCCGACGCTGCTACCCACTCCGATCTTCCAACTATCGTTGAACCCATTAAGATCGGATGATTTGGGCTGCAGATTGTTGGAAGGAATAGGATTGAGTTCCCCACCGACTCTGATGTCGAAATTCCTCCTCTCATCGGTCCTCTTGGACACATAGTTGTTGCTCCAGATTGAATTGTTGCTCCAAAGTGAATCGTTGAGGGATAGATTAGCCAAGTTGGAGTTCTGCACCCGAAGCTGATCGCTGAATTGATAAAATGAGGATTGCTGCTGATTGTTCTGCATCTTCAATTAAGCTTCCGATCCTTGCAAAAGAATAATCCGGAGTGAACTTTATTTCAGAATCTGGGTTGGTGAACAGAGAAGAAACAGAGGATTGAGGTTTGATGATACAGAGATAGAGAGAAAGAGAAGATTGGGTGATCTAGGGCAGGGGAGTAATAAATAAGGGATTGTCTGGGACTAAGGAAATTTCTTGGATGGATGGATGGATTGATTGCGTGTGGATTTGTTAAAGGGGAAAATGTTCAACAACTGTCGACAGCCAAAATTGATCTTAGTTTCATTTTGGTAAAAAATAAATCTTGAGGATTTTATTTTATTTAATTACCCATTTGGTTTACTCGCCTGATTTTTTTTGGGGGTAATTTCACTTTATTCCTTCAGTTTATCTCGTGATTTCAATTGCGTCCAAACTTTTAATAAATTCTTTTTTAATTTCATTTATTTCTTTTTTACTTTGAGGAAAACAAAAAGAGAGAGATTTTTTTTTTCTGTTAATTTCATTTTGTTAAAAAATAAAATTTGGGGATTTTAATTAATTACCCATTTGTATTACGGCATTCGATTTTTTTAGGGTAATTTCATTTTATTCCTTCAATTTATATTATGATTTTAATCGCATCCAAACCTTCAATAAATTCATTTTTTAATTACATTTATTTCTTATTTAGTTTGAGAAAAATAAAAAAAGTTCTTTTTATTTATCTCTTTTTTATTTAATTTTTTATTATTCAAATAGAGAAGATTTTCTCTTTGCCTTTTAACTCTTCTCTTCTCAATCCAAATAACTAATAAGTTATTAAAAGGTAAACCACACGGTAATTTGAAGATTGAATAATCTACTTATAACCTCAAATCAATATTTATAATAAGTAAGATCAATGACTTGTTGATTCGAGTAAAAGAAATTCGATTCTTTTTAAGTAAGGTTTCAAATTTGAGTTTTATGAATAAAGAAGTAAATATTTGTAGAGTTTCTTCCTTATAAGATCCGACGTAACTCAATTCTAAATTAATCAAAATTTAATATAATTATTAAATATCTAAAAGTTAATACCAAAAATATATATATTTATAATAAGTAAGATTTTATTATAAATAACTAAAATGTGGGGACTAATGGTGAAAAATTAAAAGATGATGGACTGGATTGAAACCTGAAATAGACGAAATAAATATAGCCGGTAATATTTTTTTAGAAATTTAATTAAGGTAGGCAATGGGCGAGAAACGACGGTAGAAACGCGGAGTTCCTTGTGTGGGTGTGGGGCGACTTCGTAAAGTCGGGTTTCTAGAAGGTCTACTTCAGAGGTTCATTGGACTTTTTATTTTTACATTTTTTTGAATCTGTATTCACATTTGATCTTGACTTTGCTTAGGTCCTAAGGAATACGCGCATTCTATCCTTTTAGTAGGTAAAAGTATTTTCAAAGAAGGCATACATACGCGTGCATATTAAATATGGACTCCAACAAATGATATTGATTTAAATAAAAAAAATTTAATTTTTTTTAAATAAAAATTTTAATATGATTTTTTTTTGAACATTTTAATATGAGATAGATTTGAAACCCACTTAAGAGAAAAAGGAGTATATTTGTTCAATGGTTAATATCATTTGATTTTTAAGGTTAAGTGCTTAATACATGTTTTTTAAATAAAAATAAATGCTAAATTTTTTTTTTATAAAATCTAATCCAATTTCACTTCAAAGTAACAAAAATTTAATATGATTTTTCGATAGAAGGTTAGCAAAGTAAAGAAAGTAACTGAACGGTTCGCTTTAACCTAGTGATATTCGACTTTAGGTTAGAGCTGTTGATCTCTAATGAGTTGTATGTTCAAATCCCATGAATTCTCTTTTCTTCATCTCAATTAACCCTATAAATAACTACAAATTGTTCAAAAAAAAAAAATAAAGTAACTGTGGAGTCCGTGACATGTCTGAGTTCAGGATGCTCACAGGTGACACCTGTAAGAAACAGTTTACATGGCCTGAAGTGAAGTCAAGTCCACCAGGGCCCACTCCTTAATTAACCTCATCTCTTTTTCTTTCGTCGGTAGTGCCGGATGATGGTCCACCACCGCACCCCACCATTTAGTTAAGGTTAGGCTTTTTATAGCATGGGCTTCTTTTGTCTATCCTCTCAATGGACCAAGGATTTGATCCATTTCAAAGGCCCAAAGATCGGAGCCCATATCAGACAGATTCTGGACTTGAAAGTTGAAAGTGAAAGATTTCCCCTTTCCTCCAAAGTCTTCAACAAACCTTTGCAACTTGCTGGTTTGGTGACTTAATTATTTACTCTGACTCTGTAGTGGTTCTGGGTCTATGAGTTTGATTGATAGAGAGCCAGGACACAGGAGTAGGTTATAATAATAATGACATCAAATTGAAGTAATTAATTAATCTTAAGAAAGACTGCTTAATTAATTATTTGGTGGTGATTATTATTCATTAGTTGATTATTATTATTATTATTTTGATGAAAATGATGAAGCACATGGAAGTAGGGCGTGTGTGCTACTTGCTGTTGACAATATAATTCTTAGCTTATAAACAATATAATACAAAAAAAAAGAACAAGACTTTGATTTTATTTAGAGCTATCATTAGCTGAACCACTACTCCTTTTTGTAATCTTTAAAAAAAAAAAAATGATTGTCAAAATATGCACTCTCAAGCATATCATAATGGGAATTCATTAAAAAGCAATTGAATATCGAAATCTGGCAATAATTAACATTTCCAATATCAAACGCCGACTTTAATTATCAATTATGTATCACCTCATATTGTTTTGTCGGGCGGTGAGCAAACCTGGAATGCACTCCCAACTCATTCTCTGCCTACCCATTTTCTGCTTCACCAGTCCCCTTTTAACCAAACAAAACCAAAAAAATACAAAAATTCTTCCTGCTTTGCTATTGCTGCTGGCATATATAGATTGAGAAATTAGTTGAGAGGGAAAATAAAAACCTTTCCAACATAAAATTGTGAGATTCTTTAACTAGAATATAAAATTATGAATCTCAATTTTTAACTTTAAGATAAGAATAAAACCGAAAAAAGCAATAACTTATTGTATCAAAAAAAAAAATTAATTTAGTAACAGTACTGAAAAGTTGAGATCACAAATGATGAAAAATGCATAGTGCCTGAATATCAACCTAATCCAAGCACTAAATGGAATGCTAATAGGTTTCCCATTTGAACCAATAGAAGGGTCATAACATGGACTATATAGTAGTACCAACTAAATATACATATTATATAATTAAGCTATGCTATATATTCTTCTGGTTGACCAATCTCTCCATGTGTCTGTATGGCATAAAATTTCAACTTTCATAGTGAAATTTTAACTGTACAAGATACAAGAATAATAATGTGTCAAGCTCCTAATGGCAATTTCCACAGAAGATTTTGCTGTCCTTTAGTTGTTCTGAGGGACTAAAGGGGGTAGTCCACATCCACAGCAATGAATCTAATCCAACGGTTGGGAAAGCCAATGTCGAAAGGAAAGTCAAAACCTTGTGGTACTGGCTAGGGGGGGGACCAAAATCCCACTAATTCCCCTTCCCAACCAATTTTTTTGCACTTTGCAGACTAATAATGGAATGGCGGGGCAAGCAATACAATTGTGCTTTATAGTCACACCTCAAATCTAAACCTTCCCCTATCATTGTCTTCACATGGATTCCAATTCCCCAAAGGTTGCCTTTCTTTAATCAACATTTTTAAGGTATATGTCCCACTTCAAGTATATAATTGCAATCTCTTTAGTTTCATGCGGTAGTAGTAGTGTATATATATTATTTATTTCATTGTTGGTTAATCTACATTTATATTAAAATATCTCACTTCACAAACAAATTTCATATATTATGTTTACATAAAATTTGAAATTTTTTTATTTTAATAGTTTAGATTGATCAAAATTTTTAAAATAAAAAATAATTATTTTTATAAATCTAAATAAATATTAACTAATAACAATAAATAATAAATAATTAAAATTTTATGTAAATATAATATATAAAACTTATATGTAAG